AGAATATTAAAAGCCACCAGCAGACTTTTTGGGTGTACACACAAATTTTTTCATCTTTTACACTAGGACTTTCTAGGTATAGATTATAGGGTTGGGAGAAAGAGATGTTTTCACTCTGCATTTATCCTGAAAAGGTTTAATTTCTCTTATTCTGGCATAGTCCCCTTTATCTTCCTTTAAGAGGGAAGAGCGATTGGGTTATGGAAGGGGAGAGCAAGTTCACTGGCATCACAAGTGAATCCTATACCATTGTACTTCACTTTCCATTAGCTGTGAATGTTGACATGAATTCAGACTATGTTTCTTCTCTTGGCTGCTTCTGTCATATTAACATAGGTACTATGTTCACCTTTTTGGCCTTGAAAAGCTTCTCATGATAGGCAGGCAGGCAGGCAGACACAAAATTTTTAAAATCTTAAAAAGTTTACATACAATAAACTTGACTTTGCTTGATGCAGTTATGAGATTTAACATTATATAGATCTGTGTGACCACCACTAATCTGGATTCATAACAGCTCGATCACCCACAAAACTCTCTTGTGCCGTTCTTTTGTAGCCAAACCCTCTCTTTGCCCTTAGTCCCTGGCAACCACATATCTAGTCCCCATGCTTATAGTTTTTGCCTTTTCCAGAGAGCTGTATAAATGGAATCATGTGGCATATAAGCTTTTGTGATATTCTCTCACATAGCCTACCGCCTTTGACGCTCATCTGTGCTGTACAATATTATCAAAAGTCCGTATTTTTTTTTTTTTTATCACTGATTATAGCATTCTACTATATGGACACACTGCAGTCTGTTTATCCATTCATCCAATGAAGGTCATTTGGGTTGTTTCCAGTTTGGAGGGATTATGAATAAGACTTGTATAAACATGCATGTACAGGTTTCTGTATTAAAACAAGCTCTCATTTTTTAGAGTGAATGCCTAGAAATGGGATTGCTGGGTCACCTGTATGTTTAACTTTGTACAAACTGGCAAAATGGTGTATATTTATAGAAACTGACAAAATGGCATAACTTTATTCATTTCCACCAGCAATGTTTGACAGTTCCAATAGCTATGCATTCCTCACCAACACTTCATACTGTCATTTTACAAAATTCTATTATAGCTATTCCGTAGTGGTAGCTTGTGGTGGTTTTAATATGCATTTCTCTAAAGACTAATGACATTATCTTTTTATGTACTTTATCTGCCATTTAAATATCTTCTTTAGTGAAGTGTCTGTGAAACCTTTTGCCCATTTCCTTATTGGATTATTTTTTAATTGAGTTTTTGAGTGTTCTTTATAATTCTGGATACAAATTCTTTGTCAAATATTTGATTTAAAAACATTTTCTCCCAGGCTGTAGCTTGTCTCATCATTCTTTTAACAGTGTCTCTCAAGGAGAAAAAAATACTTTCAATAAAAGCCAATTGTTTTTTTTCTTTGACAGAATGTTTTTGGTGCCATCTAAGGGCCCTTGCTAAACCCAAGTTCATAGACTTTCTCCTGTTTTCTTCTAAAAGCATTATAATTTTACATTTTACATATAGATCTGATGCATTTTTAATTTTTGCAAGAGATGTCAGTTTTAATTTGAAGTTCACTTTTTTTTTTTTTGCATGATCAATTGTTCCAACATCACTTCTTGAAAAGACTATTGTTTCTCCACTGAGCTGTTTTTGCATGTGTAAAAAATCAATTGGCCATATTTGTGTGGATTTCTTTCTATATTCTGTACTCAGATCTTGGTTTGTAAATAACATTTTCCAATAAAAAGAACCAGGGGTCCCTGGAAAAATGGACAGCACTGGAGTTGGGATAACTTTAAAGAGCAGGGGAAATATAATGTGAGCCTGAGGCATCTGATAGCACCAGAAAATAAAAGCTAAAAGAAAAAAATAATGGAGGCATGAGAAAAGGATACAGGTGCCAGACTGAAAAAATCTCCCAATGGCCAAACATATAAAAATCTGAGTAACGACAACAAAAGTTTTCCAGGCAATGCCCTAAATTTGATCCTTGCTTGGAAGCCATTTCTTAATTTTAGGATATCCTGCTGTCTTGGTGAGGCTGAGTCTCCAAAACCATTAAGTGCTGGCTCTTTATTTCAGTCTTCCTATAGTTTCTCCTTCACACATTTTGCTATAAGCAGTGAGAAGCCAGGTGGCTCCTTGAATACTCTGCTTGGAAAGCTTCTTAGGTCATATCAGGCACATGTTTTACTTTCCATACCATGGAAGGTGACACTTTTGCTAAACCTTCTACCACTGAACAAGGGGTCTTTCTTCCTCCAGTTTCCAATAACACTCACCTGACTTTTCTGCAAGTCTTCACCTGCAGCTTTGTCAAAGACCGTGTGGTTTCTATTAATAGTTTCTTCAGAGCACTTTAGGTTTTTACTAGTACATACCCACTTAGCTCAGTACCCACTGCCTAGTTCCAAAACCATACCCACATCTTAGGTTTTCATTATGACAGCACTCCACTTCCAGGCACCAAAATATCCATTAGTTATCTACTGCTGTACAACAAATTAACCCCAAACTAAGCAAGTCAAAAGAACATTTACTGACCCACAATTTCTGAAGGTTAGAAATCCAGGAGTGGTTTAGCCAGGTGTTTCTAGCTCATTGTGTCATAGAAGGTTGCAGGCAAGCTTTTGGCTGTAGTCTTATTTGAAGGCCAAAGTGAAGGAGGATCCACTTCCAGGCTCATTCACATGATTGTCAGAAGGCTACGGTTCTTTGCTGGCTGTTGGCCAAGACATCCAGTTCCAAATCACATGGATCTCTCTATAGACTGAGTATCCTGAGATATGGCAACTGGCTTCCCAAAGGACAGACGATCCAAGAGAGCACATGCCCAATACAGAAGCCACAGTTTTTTTTATAACCAAACATTTTAAGTGACATACCATTATTCCTACCATATTCTATTCAATAGAAGTGAGTCACTAAGTCCACATTTGAGAGTAGGGCATTAAGTTTCATTGCTTGGAGGAAAGCCTAGCAAAGAATTTCAGGAAATAATTTTGATATCACAAGTTTATTTCTGGACTGTTTCATTAATCTACATGTCTATTCCTTCTCTTATATCAGTGTCTTTATTTAAACTGTAGCTTTTTAATAAGACTTAACTAGTTGAATAGTTTGAGTCCTTCAAATTTATTGTGCTTCAAATTTATAATTTTTGGCTACTCCACTTGCTTTGTCTTTCCATATATATTTTAGAGTCAGCTTGTCTATATCCATAAAAATTCCTACTGAAGTTTTTATGGGTATTGTGTTAAATCTGTAGATTAAATTGATGAGAACAGACATCTTAAATGCATTGTCTTCCAATCCATAAATATGGTATGTCTATTTAGATCTTCTTTGATGTCATTCAACATTTTGTCATTTTTCAGCATAAAGATCCTGCACATTTGCTAGATTCACATCTATTGATTTCTTTCCTTTTGGAGTCACTGCAAATGGAGTACATTGTTCAAATTCATTTTCTAGTTATTGTTAATATGTAGGTTAATTTTTGCATGTTAACTTAATGCCTTGTGACCTTACTAACCTCATTAGTTCCAAGAGCTTTATCATTGATGCCTTGGAATTTTCTAAGTGAACAATCATGTCATCTTTGAATATAGACCATTTTATTTCTTCCTTAAAAACTGAATGTTTTGGGGATTTTTTTTGGCCTAACTGAATTAGCAAGAACTTCCAGTATGAGGTTGAATAGGAGTGTTCGGAGTGGACATCATGATTTGTTCCTATCTTAACATCATTCACTTGATCACCATCAAGCATTATGTTCGTTGTGAGTTTTATTAATTTCTTTTCTAATTTTTTGAGATATTATCATGAATAATCAAAAGTTTTTCTTCATCAATTAATATGATCATGTATTCTTTTTTCTTTCTTATTCGATTTGGATATGAGTCAGTTTATCTTCTAGTTTATTTTTTTCTCTGTTATCTCTATTCTGCTACTGAGTCCCTCCAACAATTTTTTTTGGTAAATTTTGTTATTGTAGTTTTTAGTTCTAAAATGTCCATTTGGTTCCTTTTTATGTATTATCTATTTT